AAGTTAATTCGATTTGAACTTAAGCTTAGCTCTTTGAGAAAGTATATCTTCTGAAAACTGGTTGCTTAGCACGCGTGTAAGGTTTAATTTCTAATAAGTAATTCAAATAAGTAAAATCATCATCAGTTTCATCATTAACAATCTATAAGTGGCCTATGCCGACCGAAGGTCTCTTCTCATTAGATTAGGTTTAAGCATTAACTCGTTAAGTACTATAATTATAGACACAATTAAAGAACAATAGGTTGTGGTCACCGGTGACCGCTCGGTGTTTGACAGTTTAATCACTACGCTAGCTTAATGTGGATTGGTGATTTCAAACTTATAGGTAATTAGAAATTATAAGCCCAGGTTTTCTCACAATGTTTTCCTTCACCGCTTGTCAGTGGTGTCTTTGTATTTTCTTAGAATATTAAATAATAAATAAAAAAATATATAACTCGAAAAAGTCACATTGGTACTTTGCTGTTGCAACTCGCCCTCTCATGCATAAGAAACATGCTTCTTAAACCTCCTGGTCACCACAACACAACTAAAGAAATGTAAAATGAAAATGAACATTTTTGCTATGAACCTAAGCAATCTAAAATAAAGATGGCATTTATTTTATAGATTGTTTATATATAGTTACTAGGTACCTGTTTAAAATAAAAGAAATGTATTATTTGGAAATACTTTTATTTCATTGTATTTAGGTTGTTTCTAGGAGTACTTCTTCTAAAAAGAGAGCAGGCGGTGTCATACAGCACACACTTCATTAATTGCTGATATCTGTAAACAAGTAAGATAACTGTAAATAAAGTAAACAAAACTACATTTTTTCCATTAGTTTCACATGTTATAATAATATCTGATTCCCTATCTTAAAATAGAAAAATAAAAATAAATATTTGATTACATTATTTGATTTTACAATGTTAAAATGCCATTAATAGGGTATTCCTATAACACAGATCATAGGAGCTCAAACAGCATGCTAATTAATCAATTATTATAATTATAACATGTGTATGGTTTATACACCGGTAAAGCAATGAAAAACTAATATTATAAACTGGTTATACACTTCACATACCTATTGAAGCTCTGACAGCCGATCAACATCTTCTGGCCTCATCTGTTCTATAAACGGCAATGTTAAAGTGAGGCTTAGTCCATGTTTACATAACACCTTACATCCTGAATGTCAGGTTGTGGTCTTATAGTTCCGACTCTTGTTAAGGCTCTCAGCCAGCATGGAACACGATCTTCATCATTGGAAGTAAGCTAAAAAAAGTAATATTATTAGAATGTCATATTGACTTTAAATTATATGATAATAGTATACGGTTAATACAATAAATTATTACCTCTCGTGGCTGAATCCAATCAGATACTATATGAACTAGTATTTGCTCCTGTTCGTTGGCGCCTTCCATTAACCCTCTGTGTCACATTATCCTTGCAATGGAATGCCCACATACGACACAGCCATGTCGATGATCAGTTTGTTTACTGGACATACTTTCAGGAACATCCCAATACATTGCTAATTGCCAGCAAACATGGCAAATATGGTCGGTAGGAGAGATCTAGAATAAAATGATACATTATAGGTAGATAACACTATGCCCCCTTTATTTAGGCAACAAGGTGACTTTCGATAACGTTGCTACCATCCGTGCGTCACTGCATGGGTGCCCACTGAAAATCAGTGCTGGGTAACCTGTAAGCCTGGCTTACACTGAGTGGGTGACCCTTTTAGCATAGGCATGTTGTCAGCGTCTCTTTTCTAATTCTTCTGTTTCAATTTCTCAACTCTTATATTTTTATTACTTCCACTGTCACATCTTGATTGTCTTTTTTTATTTTTTATTTATGCTGCATCGTGCCTGGTGCTAAATAAATGTTTTTTCTTCTTCTTCTTCTTCTTCGATAAATCATGTGTAAACTAGGTACCTACTTACATCTGTAGAATAAGTCCACAATGGGATATTGTTGACCACGTCTAGTCTTCACTCTCATTTCCTAGAGCATGCAATCTCATACGACAAACTCTGGTTGTAATTAATGCACTGTAAATTCGTCATCGCGACAAAATACAACACACTATGCACAAATGAAAATAAGTGTATTTTCGCAATTTCGGCTACGGAGGAACGGCTGCCCAACTCAACGTATCACCAGATGAATAAAATGACTTCCAATTTGTACAAACACATCATAACACCGCATTTGAAACCAACAGCGAGGCGAAGGCGCACTTGACAAATCGTCTTCAACAACAAATGTCAAATACCAGTAAACATTGCCATATTCAAGTTTATGAAAATGTTAATTATCGTTAATAATCCATGTAGACCTCACAAAATGAAATTAAAATAATGATATTTACTTATAAAAATGTTTGAAATGGAAAGGAAAATATTTCATTGATAGATATTAAAATAAATGAGTTTATGAAATAGCGACATTCAATATACTCTTGTTTCATGTTTACGCATGGCAACTTTATAAACGTCAATCGCGGTTTGTTTTTATTTATGTAGCCGTTTTATTGATTGCATCTTATCATTATTGATTATCAGATTTTCTAAGGTTTCCAAAGTTCTAAAAATCTATTAAATGCGTATTTAGAGGATTCTATAGCTGCCCAATTGCCCAAGGCAAAACAATGACAAATCTTTTTTTAACAAAGCGGTACGAAATCTGCCGTTCTCTTTTGTATTTGTCATTGTTTTAACCAAGTAAATGATCTGAACGATAGATATTTTTATTATGATATTTAGAAAAAAATTACATATTTTTAGAACTTGGGGTTCAAAAGTTATTTCACTTTGAAAATGTGCAAAAGGTACGTTAATTGTTACACTTGACATTGCGTATTCGCTTCATTTTTCCAAATATGTGTTAATGGCGTCCAAATAGTATCTATAAATGTAATGGCGTGCAGATATATGTATATATATAGCAAATGAAGACGAATAAACCCTTCACACATGGTCTTTTTTGGCCAAACACAACAAATACGCAACGTCAAGTGTAATATCACCTTTACGCAAAAGTACTTAAAGAAAAACTAAAGTAATTATTGTCCGATAATTTGGGCAGAGGGAGTTTGTAAAAAAAATGTTAATATTATGTAAAAAAATGTTATAATATTATGTAAAAAATAAGGGCCTCAAACAAATTTTTGTACCCCGCCAAGATACGCTACACCACTGTTCGGTAATTAGCTTTCTGATGTTGTTTTACCACTATTTATTTGCAATGTTAGCTGGTTTCCCAATACATAAATAAAGCAAACGATGCATTATTGCAAATGTACAGTCAAAGGTCAAAAGTCCACTGCCACCGTGAGTGATGTTCACACGGCAATGTGTAAGTAATTTCATATTAATGTGCATAAAAACGCGTGCGTACGCATAAACACACGCACGCGTACGCACACGGATACAAATATGCGTGTGTGTGTGTGTGTGTGTGTGACCGATAGTAGTCATACGGTGGTAGTGGACTTTGGACCGTACCCCGACATGTATTGTATCGGCGACATGTCAAGCCGAAGCCTGCCGATTTCGACCGACATATTATACGGCGACAACGTGCGCCTTATGCGCTTTTTTTTTTTAAGTGGGAAAATCATCGATTGACTGCTCCCACCTGGGTGAGGCGGAAGGGAGTGTCAGACTCTTACTGACTAAAAACCACCCCGTTCCTTCTCCAGCACCCGGACCCCGGTTACCCGTTAGGTTCTCCGCGACTCCGAATCGGCATCGGCCCTATTGGGCCCCATCTGTGGTGGTCTGATGGCTCTTTGAGGCGCGCGCGGAACGCGACGCGCCGTACGCTCGGGTCTGTTTCTGGTCGGACGGGGAGCCACCCATGCTCGCCGTCCGCAGCCACGCGCTTACGGTGGCCGGAGATCGTCCCGCGATCCCCGACGCCCGGTGTGTCCTTCGCGATGGCTGGGTTGCGAGGAGGCAGCGCTTCGCTGTCTCACGCGTCCCGCCTCCTCCTTAGCTAGCATAACTGCTTCGCAAAAGGAGGAGACGGCATCCCAGTCCCCCTCGCTCCGCATCATGGCCTGCACTAGGCCCGGACGCGAGAGGGCCTTATGCGCTTACCACACACTCGACGAATGGTATGGAAAGTAACGAGGAAAGGAGGCAGATACAGTGTAGCAACAATACTCGTCATGCCGCGTCATGCTCCTCGTCCTGCCCACTGCTCCCTATTTTGTCGGTTTTTGCACGCGAGTCAAAGGGACCAGCAATACGAGAAGACAACGAGGACCAGCGATAGGAGCGTTGCGATTGATTGCGGGAGTAGAACAGTGTGTGGGCTGAGAGGGTAACATCGCGGCCAATCACGGCAGCGCGAGGAGTATAGTGATGAACAGCGCAAGGAGTACAGTCTGGCAGGCGCATTATGTTGTTTTTTTTTAAGGGGGGATATCATCGAATGACTGCTCCCGCCTGGGTAAGGCGGGAGGGAGTGTCAGACTCTTACTGACTAAAAACCACCCCATTCATTCTCCTACACGTCGAGCCGGAGCCCCGGTTACCCGTTAGGTTCTCGGCGACAGGCGAATTATGTATACAGCGACGTTGATGTTGCCAGATATCTCAACCAAAGTCTGACAACGTCGCGTTACTCCACCCAACGTTGCTGACGACACGTGTCACACGACATTTTGTCCCCCCATCCTTGGCTTAAATAAATCCTTACTAATAATATAAATCTGAAAGTGGGTTTGTTTGTTTGTTCCGCTTTCACGCCGTAACTACTAAACCGATTGCTTTGAATTTTTGCAGACGTAAAGTTAGAAGTCTGGATTAAATAATAGGGTACTTTTTATCCCGGAAAAATTGATATTCCCGAGGGAAAACAAAAGTACTGGTATAGATGGCGCTGTATGTATTGGTATATGTCACGTATGCCACTTTTTATCCTTTTGTGACGCGAGCAAAGCCGCGGGTAAAAGCTAGTAATTAAATAAATAAAAATTCTCCCCACAGTATATCACCCAAACTGCCGTCTGCCGAACCATATCGACAGGTCGTACAGTGCCTACCTGGACCGCGTGAAGGAAGGAAAGAGCCTCCCTAACCCTGAGTTTAGTGGCAAGGACTCGTACAAGTATACTGCTGTGTAAGTATTATACGCAACACCGTTTTTATGGAATAGGAACTTATGGAATTGGTTTATATGGAACAGAATATATCGAGGGGTAACGGGCTATTTGGTTTAAGCGACATTTTGGGCGAATTTGAGTTATTATGTATATTCGACGGAGAAAAATTAGCTGATTCCGAATATATATATATAACTCAATATCGACCAAAATGTCGCTTAGTCCATCAGTCCATCAGTTAGACATAACATAACATCACGCTTTTTATCCCCGAAGGGGTAGGCAAGAGTTGCACATTATGCCACTGTATAATGTAACACCCGCTTTTCACTATTTATGTTATGAGTCCCATGAATTAGGGGGTGAGCCTATTGCCATATACCGGGCACAATTCCAGACTCCGTGCTACTACTGAGATTCTTTTAAAAACCCAGTAATACTTTGCCCGACCCGGAAATCGAACCCGAGACCCCTTGCCCGGCAGTCACACTTGCGACCACTCGGCCAACGAGGCAGTTAGCTGATAAAAAATTTTTAAACATTTTTTATTTTATCATATAAGAAAACAATAGTTACCTACTTATATAGATAATTATAACAAATCTAATTTTAGACGTCTATTTTAAGTCAGATATAAAAAATTAAATTGTAGGCGTTTATTTTGAGTATAAAACTTACACCAAAAGTGACGTCACGCGAAATTTTAATACCTATATCTTCGCAAGTACCTATTTGTTTAAGTAAGACAATAAAAATAATGTGTCTAAGGTTTTAAAATAACCTGCCATATGCATATTCAAATAGAAAATATTAATCTAATCGCCCTATTGAGGACAGACGAGGAGATGGATCAATCAATGGTTTACAATACCGAATCAAAGTTCAAATGTTTACTTTCAAAATGAGCTCTTTCGCTTATGCGAGGCTCGATATCGAATTGGTGTGTTACAGATCCGTACTTGTCCCTTTTTCCGCCTTGGGTTAGGCGAGAGAGAGAGTGTCAGACTCTTACTGACTACAAACTACCCCATTCCTACTCCTCTGCTCTTCGAGCCGGAGCCCCGGCAACCCCTAGGTTAGGCCTTCCACGGCTCCGCATCAGGCTTCAGCCCTACTGACATGATTAACTGTCTGGGATCTCACAACGAAATAATCAGAAATCACTGTATAAAATACTGCCCATAAATAAAAATGTATAATCCTTACTAATACTATAAATCGGAAAGTGAGATTGTTTGTTTGTTTGTTCCACTTTCACGCCGTAACTACTAGACCGATTGTTTTGAATTTTTGCAGATGTGAAGTTACAAGTCTGGATTAAATAATAGGGTACTTTTTATCCCGGAAAAATTTGATATTCTCGAGGGAAAACGAAATTATTGGTATAGATGGCGCTGTGTGTATTGGTATATGTCACATAGGCTACTTTTTATCCTTTTGTGACGCGAGCGAAGCCGCGAGTAAAAGCTAGTAGAGAATAAATATAACACCAGAAGTGCCAGAGAACATAATACAACTAGTATTACATGATGCTACTGTAGTAAAAGCTGATGCTAGACATTTGCAAATAATTTGGAAGGATTTCGAGCCGGACTCGTAAACAGCCGGTATTTATAAATACCTATTTTGATGATATTAAATAAACCTAGAATAATAAACTACTATGGTAAGAGCACTAATAAATATATTGTGCCAAAGATATTCAATAAAATAGATATATTGAGAGAGGAAAATAAAGTGAGTTTGTTTATGTTGAAGAAGAAGCTAAGGGGAGAATTGCTTAGAGAGCATAGGCAATGCATTCTTTAATTTCTATCCTTTATAATGTGTATTTTTATTTTTGTTTTGATTTCAGTTTTCTTTTAATGTTATACTAATATTATAAAGAAGAAAGATTTGTACCTATTTTTGTATGTTTGTATGTTTGTAATGAATAGGCTCAAAAAGTACTAGGCCAATTTAAAAAATTATTTCACCAATAGAATGCTACATTCTTCCAATTTGACATAGGCTACATTTCATTTTGAAAAAAATTAGGGAAGCTTGGTAAAATTTGAACAATGTAACTGAAGGTGTAGAAAAATTAGTCTTAAAATGTCTTTCGTCGAATGCGCTGCCGAAACTATTAGCGATAGAACAAAATAATGTACAACAATATTGAAGAACATCATAATGTCTACAAAAAACTCGGCGGTAGCATATGTCCAACTATTGTAGTTATGTCACTACAACAATGTCTACCTCGTGCGAAGCCGGGACGGGCTGCTATTGTTATATAAAGTACTTAATTAGCTAGTAAGAATAAGAAATTAGTGCTTCGCGCCGTTAAACGATATGTTTGGCGAGGATCTTTAATTATAAGAACAAAATGTTATTCTTAAAATTGTACTTTTGTTAAATCCTTATCCTTACTAATATTATAAATCGGAAAGTGAGTTTGTTTGTTTGTTCCACTTTTACGCCGTAACTACTAAACCGATTGCTTTGAAATTTGCAGATGTGAAGTTAGAAGTCTGGATTAAATAATAGGGTACTTTTTTATCTCGGAAAAATTGATATTCCTGAGAGAAAATAAAAGTTTTGATATAGATGGCGCTGTGTGTATTGGTATATGTCTCATAGGCTACTTTTTATCCTTTTGTGATGCGAGCGAAGCCGCGGGTAAAAGCTAGTGTTATATAAAGTACTTAATTAGCTAGTAAGAATAAGAAATGAGCGCCTCTCGCCGTTAAACGATATGTTTGGCGAGAATCTATAATTATAAGAACAAAATGTTATTCTTAAAATTGTACTTTTGTTAAATAAAATAAATAAAGAAGGTATTGTTAGACGGAAAGCTATTTCAGCCTATTACGATGAATGATTATTTCACATGTTTCAGTCCAAAACGTGTGTTGGCTGTGCACACGACGAGTCCAGACTTCAGGCCGAATACACCAACGTTTCCGATACTGACACATACTAAACCAAGGAACAGAGGCACGCAGAGCAAGTACAGGTAAAAATAGACTTTATTTTTAATATTGTATTTAATATTCATAACTCACGTCTTTTATCCCCGAAGGATTAGGCAGAGACGCACATTACGGCACTTAATGCCACTGCACAATGTAACACCCACGTTCCACTATTTATGTTATGAGTCCCATGTAATAGGAGGTGAGCCTATTGCCATATACCTTGCACAATTCCAGACTCCGTAATTTATTATGTTTTCGGCTTACTCACGTAGTAATTTGACGAGGAACTCGACTAGTTTAAGTAAGCCGAAAATATAATAATTTATTTAGTATGTCTCACGAAAGTTACATCCAGACTCCGTGCATTTATAAACCCAGTAGTACTTTGCCCGACCCGGGTATTGAACCCGAGACCTTGCCCAGCAGTCGCACTTGCGACCACTCGGCCAACGAGGCAGTTTAAGATTCAAAATTGTTATGGGCAACAGAGTCATTTAGTAAAATAAGAAAACAAAGATTGATTCAGTACAGAGACAGTAGCTATTGTTATACTGAATTGTACGCTTTGTAACGACGCCATATCTTTTGTAACCATTGGTCGGCTCTAGACAACCAATGGTTACTGTCTCTGTACTGAAACAATCTTTGTTTCCTTACCTAGATGACTTGGTCGACTGTGAATGAAAACGATCCGTTTCAGGGAGTCTTCAGCGCAAACAATACCGTGGCAACCTGACGGGAAGCCGGCCAAGCAATGCGAGAACACACCAGAAGTACTATACCTTGATAAACTGGAATGGGGTAGGTCGCCTTTGTTAATTTTTCGAGTATTATTGCCGTGCCAGAGGCGGATTAAACGAGAGAGCGTCCTAAGCAAGCACGTCATAGGCACCGCTAGTGTTTCTGGCGCCTCCGTCACTCTATGTGCAGTTGTACACGCGCGTCTCCCGGCGCCCCTCTGTAACCTGGCGCCCGGCACTTGTCTAGAGCGCCTTAGGCATAATACGGCTCTGTGCCGCATAAAGAAATATTTATCATCAACAACAGACTGGAAAAGAGAGATTTCGGATTTGATATAATCTATACGCGTGGCATGCGGGTTGGTGCATTGGTGCGGCTCTCGCGCGGCCATGTGTTTTTATACCCCCGTCCCGCGCGTCGCCGCCTCTATGGTCGATGGCCATACTAATGCGACACATTAGTTTTTAAAATAAAAAGACGGAAAATAATTATGACGACATAAATAACGCCCTTATAAAGATACAAAATTGGTTTACATTTAATAACTTAGTACTAAACGTAATTATATTGTTGACGTTCAAAAGTGCCTTCCTGGACTAATTGAAATAAATGATTTTGACTTTAGATTCGTTCGTCTGAGGCTGCGTAGGTGTTATTTTTTTAAGGGGTGACAATCAGCGAATGCCTGCTCTCGCCTGGGTGAGGCGAGAGGGAGTGTCAGACTCTTACTGACTAAAAACCACCACGTTCCTTCTCCTGCACGTCGAGCCGGAGCCCCGGTAACCCGTTAGGTTCTCCGCGACTCCGAATCGGATTCGGCCCTGTTGGGCCCCATCTGTGGTGGTCTGATGGCTCTTTGAGGCGGAACGTAACGCGCCGTCCGCTCGGGTGTGTTTCTGGTCGGACGGGGAGCCACCCATGCTCGCCGTCCGCAGGCCCGCGCAGGCTGCGTAGGTTTTGGGTATTCGTTTTAAGGATTATTTGTCACATCATCAGGTCCTGGTATGCCGTACCGTGTCGGAGATCTTCCAGCTGACTTCTACACCACTGCTATCATTAATAAGTGAGTTCCTTCGTACTATTACACACTATCAGCTTTCTCTAATTCTTCAATAGGTGCCTATCTAAGTAGTTGTTAAGATAAACCCTAAACCCTTAACAAAAAGTTACTTACCGTGACGTAGCACCTAAATATGTACTGTTAAGTATCAGTGTCACTTATGGGCTACTAAATTAGATTAGGGATTTCTTAACAGATTGGTGAAAACGGCCTTTTTTAACGTTGCCCCACACTAGGATTTTGTCCTTTGTCGTGGCTGTGTTTACAAACATACAAGTTCATATACACATGACACCCAGACTCGGAACAACAATTTGTGGATCACACAGAGTTGCTCCGTGCGGGAATCGAACCCGCGACACGTTGTGTGGCAGCCGGTTGCCCAGCCACCGCACTAATCGTGGTGTCAAAATTAAGCTACTGTTTATGTCGCGGAATAATCGTACAATGGGGTGGATAGCGATCGAGAGGTAAATAGAGACAGATGAGGGGTGAATAGATATTGGGAAATTCTTCATAGTATCAGTTCACCCCTCTTCTGTCCGTATTCACATCTCGATCCCTATTCACACCATTAGACCGTTATATAAAATTGGGGTTTCATCGTCAGGATGCGTCACGCCCGAGCTTGGATGGACCTGGTGGAAGCTGGCCAGTTCCCCAGCTGGATGAAGGACAGAGATAGCATCATCAATGATGTTGTGGTCAAGGACTGGCTCTTTAGGGAAGGGGTGAGTACATCATCATCATCATATCAGCTACATGTCCATTGCCTCACGTAGTCCTCCCTCAATTACTTCTACAATAGGTAAGCTTTTTAATTGGGTACATTATTTCGACTGTTCAATACAATAAAATATTAAACCAATTTAATTTTAGTGTTCTTCTAAGAAATAAGTATGATGTTTGACGCTAAAAAACGTGACGTCACAATACACAATCTCGTACAAAATTCATGGAAAACTGTCGTTTTTGACAATTCGAAAAAAGTATTGTAACACGAGGGTTAATAGTTAGGTTTGGGTGCATGCCTCACGGCGGCGAGACATATCACCGCCCAGCTGCGGCCCAGATGTGGCGCAAGGGTCCTTTATTGTCTTTGCTCGGACGCACCCTTAACGGAGTGAAAGCGAACCCCGCCAACGACAGTGGACAACTAGCCGCGAGAGCGCATAGCCGCTATTCCGCGAGGCACCCGGTTACATTAACTAATTTTAAGTTAACCCCTGTTTGTGTAGTTTTATAGACACCTGTTCAGTTAATAAACGTTTTCACTATAGTTTTCGCGCATTTGAACCTCATTTCCACCTCACACCCTGACGTAGGGGCTGCAATACAAACCCCAACGTTACAGTATTGAATTTGTCTAGTTGGCAAGTACCTAATTGTATGGATCTTTGCAAAATACAGCTGATTCCATGCTGTTTTAACCACCTCTTGGCACCAATGATTGTAGTATGATGTTTTCCTTACTCGATAAATAGATTACCATTTATAGTCGGGTAGATGTGATAGTTCTCATGCCTCTCATGGGCGCCCTTAATTTATTTTGGCGCTACTCACTGGGCAGTTGTTCACGCACGTCTCTCGGCGCCCCTCTGTAACCTGGCGCCCGGCACTTGTCTACAGCGCCTTAGGGATAATACGGCTCTGGACTACTCACGACTAAAATAATTATTTAATTCAAATCAGCACTTGTATATCCTTTAGTGTTACGTATATCCGGCGACCCCGATTGCTTACCATCAGGTGATTCATTTGCTCGTTTGATTCCATAATTTTGTTAACTCTTCAATCTTTATAATAATGAAGTAATTTAATAATTTAGGAAATAGATGAGTTACAAGATATACGACTGGAGTTACTGCACCGTCTCCAGTCGGATCAGAGAGCGAAGCAGACGAGCAAAAACAGCATGAAGCTGGCCAAGCTCTGGGCTTCCAAGAAGCAAGAGATGGAACGGAAGATGACTCATATACGGAAGACCAGAGATCGAGGTACAGTATTTTTTTTAAGACTTTGACTACCAATAAAAACTGTTGAAGGTAAATCCTCCGCTAACGCCGGTCACCGGTGACCCCTATGGCGTTTAACGTGTTAAGGGGGGAAAATCATCGAATGTCTTCTCCCACCTGGGTGAGGCTGAAGGGAGTGTCAGACTCTTACTGACTAAAAACCACCCCGTTCCTACTCCTGCACTTCGAGCCGGAGCCCAGGTAACCCGTTAGGTTCTCCGCGTATACCATTTTCACCAGGTGCAGGAACTCGGAAATAGGAACTATTCGTTTTTAACAAATATTATTATATTCTAATGTATTTCGTTGCGGGATCTAAGACAGTTGTACATGTACCTGTGTCGCGCCGGACTTCAGTGTTGCGGTGTCTGCATGGTTGTATCTACTGTAGATCCTGGTGTACAGGAGTTGCAGCGGTTTTAAGAGGTTGTAAAAAGTTCGTTGAAAGAAAATAACATGAAGGGTTTTTTAGTCTAGAATCATCGATCCAGTTCGAGCGACGTGATGATGGTGAATTCTCATTCCTTCTTGGTCGTAACATTATAACATCATCACGCCTTTTATCCTCAAAGAGGTAGGCAGAGGTGCACATTGCGGCACTTAATGCCACTGTACAATGTCACAGTAACACCCACTTTTCACTATTTATAGTATGAGTCCCATGTAATAGGGGGTGAGCCTATTGCCATATACCGGGTACAATTCCGGACTCCCAAGAGTTCTTTGTTCAACTGTGATAATAAAATGCATTGTATTTTGGTAAAATAGTACTTTGTATAGTCCCTATATAAAAGTACTATTTTGGATCTCAATATCTAGTTGGCCGAGAGTCAAGTTTAGATCTTTCTAAAGTGTAGGTAAGTTCCTTTGGAGATGTTTTCAGTTCTTGGAACCACACCTATATACTTCTATGTCCAATTTTCACAGAACTCCGAAAACTAGTAGCCCTACACGAGGGTGGAGGTCGAGCAGGGCTGGTCGCTCGTCTAAGGTCAGCCCGGGGCGCAGGTTCAGTCGCCTTTGCCTCTAGAGATCCGACATCAGACCTCCATGCTCCGCTGGCCAGGCACGGCTACCAGGCGCGCCGGAGACATGCGGAGATTCTCTATGACCCTGGATTATTGTGTATGTATCTTTTTGACTCTTGAGTAGAGCATATTTTTTACTACCGCTTCTGGCGGGTGTCATATACCCGGACTAACGGATTATGTATTTGACAGAGACCAGTTACAGTGCTCTCTGATGAACCTTTTGTGCTGCGATCTCCAACTCGTTTGTCAAGCATGGGGATAATGACAAACCCCTTTTTAATATTTCAACGATAAAGTAGACGGATCACCTGATGGTAAGCAATTGGCGCCGCCCATGTACACCCGTCCATGGGTGGTGCGAATACTAGAGGAGTTACAACTACGATTCACATGGTTACCTTTAGCGATTGGGAGTCAAAACCTACACCCCTCTCCAATCCTTAAGTCTCCAATTTTTAAAAATAATTAATTACTAGTTAATTGGGCCTCCGGTAACCTCACCCACACGATGACAACCGTTGTTTTACGTCGATCTTCCGTGTTATCACTCCGGTCGAGCCGCGGCCCATTCGTGCCGAAGCATGGCTCTCCCACACATAAAATATTGGAGAATTATTTATTTTATTTATTCTTTTATGTACAAAATTTTATTATGGCACATAAGGCGAACTTAATGCCATATGGCATTCTCTACCAGTCAACCTTAGGGTTTAAGTAGAAAATCTGCGAAAAATAAGGTATTTACTTTGCTTTTCCCGTCAGCTCTGGAAGACCACAACGCATTAGCCGAACCGCCACCATGGCTAGACTCCTGCGGCCAGGATCTCACCAAGTCCTGTTCCGGACACCTCCTTCCAAGGGATCCCACTGTCCTATGTGAACGGGAGACCAAGTGGAGCGAACAGTTCCTGGAGAACCTTCATAATGATCTGAAGAGTAAGCGCTTTGTATTCTGTAGACATTATAATCATCATCATCAGTTTAAGCAATATGAGGCAGTACATATATGGGTCGGAAACCTGCCAAGTACCAATGTGACTTTTTCCAAGTTATATGTATGTATGTACTTTTTAAGGTTATCTAGACATCACTGACGAATGGTAAAGGAAAACATCGTGAGGAAACCTGGGCTTATAATTTCTAATTATAAGTTTAAAATGCTAACCCGCATTGAGCAAACGTGATGATTAATGCTCAAACCTTCTCCGTGTGAGAAGAGGCTTTGCTCAGCAGTGGGCACTTATAAGCGGCGTGATGTGATTTTGATGTGATGATGATGATGTGAGGCAAAAAAACAGTAGTAAGGAAACTCCTGGCCCTTTCCATCACTAAACCATCTTTTAACTAAGAGTTATTTAACGTAGACGAGCAGATAAACTAACCCATTAAGTGTCCCATGCGCCACCCATGGACACTTGAAACACTAGAGGATTTACAAGTACGTTACCGGCCTTTTGGGGATAAGAATTTTAGGATTGTTGGGGATTCCTCTAAACTCACTCACACGACGAGACACGCGTTTTTCACGTCGTTTTTCTGCTCGGCCGTGGTATCACTCCGGTCGAGTCAAGATTCATCTATCTTAGGAGTAAACATTCCTTTAAATTTTAAAAAGGGTTATATCTCTTAAACATCCCTCCCCTAACTTAAACCGAATGTCTCACTGCAGAAACTCGTCTCGGAGCCGCAAAGATGACAGCAGGTCCGCTCCACGTGTTGAAATCACGCAAGGAGTGCTTCGTCGCCAGGCCCAGGACGCCTGAGGTGGAATCCTTGGACGACTTCGAGGAATCAGAACACCAGGCCGCGCTGGTGCTGCAGAGGATCATCAGGGGCAGAGCTGTACAGAATTTGGTGAGGGGATGTAGATTTTAGAGGTCATTATTGGCGGTTAGTATTGAGGGGTTACATAAGAGGAAGGAATGGTCGTGGTGGCCCGGAGGTTTAGGACGCCCGCTTCTCATGCATGAGGGTGCGGACTCGAAACCTACCAACGGCAAGTACCAATGTGACTTTTCCGAGCTATATGTACTTTCTAAGATTAGTCAGACACCACGCACAAACGGTGAAGGAAAACATCGTGAGGAAACCTGGGCTTATAATTTCTAATTATAAGTTTGAAATCGTCAACCCGCATTAAGCAAGCGTGGTGATTAATGCTCTAATCTTCTACATGTAAGAAGAGGCTTTGCTCAGCAGTGGGCATTTATAAGCTGTTGATCATGATGATGATGAAGCTACAATTATTAACAATGAGTCACACATTTTACGAGGATTGTTGTCAATAATATTTTAGTGATACCAATTCAAATTTTGCACTTACTAGATGGCGCTAAAGTCAATTAAAGGACACCCACCAACTAATATTTATATACTACCTCTTTTCTCCCAGATGTACGAAGGTCGCACGCGAGCTGCGGAGTTGACTGAAGAGTTGAAGACCACGCATGGTCTCCAGAAGGAAGATAAAGTCAGGATAGCAAATGAAGAGTCGAAGGCCAGGGAATTCAATGCTAGGAGGACGGAGACTGAACTCAGGGTATGTTTTATATTTTATCTGTGCATAAAGCGGCCATAAGTTCCCGGGGCTGGCGCCGGCTCTATCCAGTAGACCAGTAGTAGTAGTAGACATGGAATGGTTTTATCCAAACAACGCGGGCAGAGCCTCTGGCAGAAATAAGTTATGAATGCCTTACTCTCCTTGAATTCTCTCAAGAATCAATCCCTGATGTCTTGTAGCTGATTCTTCCTAGTCGATTCCCTCACTGCTGAGGATCATGACTCACTATTTTGCTCACTAGATGTCGCCACGTATATCGTTCCGTAGCTTGGTGCATTGCAACCATCATTCATAGGTATGTCCAGCTCCTTGGATATTTAGTCTGATCACCGCATGGGACTCCGGCCTCTCGGTCACTTTCCTTCTACTTTACCAGTCACTATGAGGCGTTCCAGGCTGCCAGCATCTCTGCGAGCAATATGGCCAAAGTATCGCACAATCTTTTGCTAGTAAACTGTGGACAAGCGTTAAGTTTTGTCCATTCTTAGCTCTTTCAGAATAGAAACGTTTGCACGGTAAGCTGTCCACGGTATTTATTTATTTATTTATAATTTGGACAACCAGTAGTTGCTACATTAGGTCTTATATCTAAGCACTTACATTGTAATAAATTTTAAATGCACAACATTTTAAGGTGTCACAACATGCACAGTAGCCTAACGATGACACTTTTATCAGTATTTGTGATAATTGGTAAGTAAAATAAACACTAAGAAATACTTAAAATGAAAACATAAAATAAGAAACTGAAATAAAAAATCTAAGTACACATTAAAAATCTACGTATTATGGTCACTCAACAATCTCACTACAGCCTAAATATAAAATCATAAATCAGCATCCTAAATCCTTGAAATTCCATTGTTCTGTTCTTTTAGCTGATATGATGGTGATATTGTTTTGGTGTGCTTCAACAGGAGGACACCATATCAGCTCTAGTGGACGAGCTGTGCGGTGGAGCCGTGTCTGCTGCGCTCGACTTCTTGGAGAAAGAGCTTCGAAGGCTCAAGGAGGAGAGGAGACAACATGCCTTCCTGATGATTGCTTGTAAGTTATTTTTTGTGGTATAGGTCGGTAGTGAGAAGAGGCTTTGCTCAGCAGTGGGCATTTATAGGCTGTTGATGATAGGTCGGTAAACGACCAGACAGTGATCAGGTGCTCCGGTGATCCGGTGATCCTGATGGGCCATCAGGTGATTCTGGTAATAAGCAATTGGGTAGTTTCCTGGGTCAAAAATAAATTATTTTGGTTTTTCGGTCCATTTAAATATTGAAATATGGTTACAATTCCATTCATTGATTTGCCGATATACTTAATTTTCGATTTATTCTTAACATTCTTCGATTTATTCTTAGCGCGAAAATATGATGACGTCATAAGATGGTATTTTGTACAAAATTCATAGAACAGTATCGTTTTGATAAAAGTATTGATCATATTTATGATTAGTTATCAACTACCGTATTGTGTACTTGCCAACTACTTAAATTCAATACTTTTTTCGAATTTTGTACGAGATTGTATATTGTGACGTCACGTTTTTTTTTTCGTCAAACAGCGTACTTATTTCTTAACAAATTGCTGGAAAAATGCTAAAATTAAGTTAATCCTAAAATCAATAAATGAAAGTGTGATTATTTTTTAATATTTTATTGTATTTTGTATTTATTGAAATAATTATTTCGATTGTTCAATTACCCAGTTGGGTAAATAATGTATTCTTTTCTGAATCAAAAATACAATTTTCTTAATCAATAAATACGTATATCAATAATCAATAAATACAATTTTCTTAATCAATAAATTTCCTTAATCAATAAATACGTGACGCAAAAGCACACACCGTAATGTGGTGTTAAAAAGTCCATTGTTCTGTCGATAGTACGTGAGAAGACGATGCGAGAAGCGGCTGAAGCTGGTAGAAGGCAGAGGGAAGAACATCGCAGAAGGGAACATGATGAGATGTTCAAACAGGTAACATATTCTATGTAATAGGTTTTTTTAATATCTAAAGCTGAAGAGCTTTTTATTTGTTTATAAGCGTTAATCTCATTTATTGTGATTTATCGAGGAAAGTGTGTGAGAGCCATGCTTAGGCACGAAGGGGCCGGCTCGACCGGAGTGATACCACCGCCGAGCAGAAAACCGACGTGAAACAACGCTTGCGTTGTGTTTCGTCGTGTGAGTGAGGTTACCGGAGGCTCAATTACCCCCCTCCCTAGTCCCCCTAGTGGGGGATTCAAATCCTCCACAATCCTCAAATTCCCAATTCCCAAAAGGCCGGTAACGCACTTGTAACGCCTTGGTGTTTCGAGTGTCCATGGGCGACGCCGATTGCTTACCATCATGTGATCCGTCTGCTCGTTTACCGGCTTATGCTATAAAAAAAGACCACAGGCTATAAAACATCATCATCGTCATCATCAACAGCCTATAAATCCCCACTGCTGAGCAAAGCCTCTTCTCACACGGAGAAGGTTTGAACATAAATCACCACGCTTGCTCAATGCGGGTTTGTAATCACAAACTTATAATTAGAAATTATAAGCCTAGGTTTCCTCACGATGTTTTCCTTCACCGTTATAAAACATCACGCTAAGATTAATAGGATTCGAGCAGCGGGTGACAGAGATAATTTAACCCTTGTTTCTGTCCTACAGATCCTAGGAGTGACCCAAGGCACAGTGGAGGCCTACCTCCAAGAGATTATAGATGAGGGCGTAGAACTGGCTGCTGAGGAGGACGCCAGCGAGAGGGCGAAGGACCAAGCTATGAAATATCATGATACGCTCATTGACAATTCTGAGTTGTAAGCCCGAATATTGAAAGACTACTAATTTGAAGTTGTACTTAAATACCGTGCCGTCTCTGTCATTTATAAAGAACTAGCTTTTACCCGCGGCTTCGGCGGCAAAGGATAAAAGCCAATGTGACATATACCAATACACACATCGCCATCTATACCAATATTTTTGGTTTCCCTCGGGAATATCAAATTTTTCAGGGATAAAAAGTACCCTATTATTTAATCCGGACTTCTAACTTTACGTCTGCAAAATTTCAAAGCAATCGGTTTAGTAGTTACGGCGTTAAAGTGGAACAAACAAACAAACAAACAAACTCACTTTCCGATATAAGTAAGGATTTTTAGTGACAGAACTATACTTAGTGTGACTTAAAATTGAGTATTTGGACATTAATTAATTATTATTTGGTGCTTATAAATGTAATGTAATGTAATGTACTGTTTTTCGAAACCTACCAACCAACGGTAAGCCTACCAATGTGCCTATGTATTTGCGATTTATTTGTACTTTCTAAGATTAATTATAAGTCTAGACCAAAGGCTTCTTCTCACATGGTGAAGGTTTGAGCATTAATCGCCACGCTTGCTTAATGCGGGTTGGTGATTAAAAACTTATAATTAGAAATTATAAGCCGAGGTTTCCTCACGATGTTTTCTTTCACCGTTTGTCAGTGGTGTCTGAATAATCTTAGAAACTACATATAACTCGGAAAATGTCACATTGGTACTTGCCGTTGGTAGGTTTCGAGCCGACACTCCCATGCATGAGAAACGGGCGTCATAAACCTCCGGGCCACCATGACATTGTGAAGGATGCATGCATTTGTCGAATGACTCAACGTGGACAGTAGTCCTTATTTACCATTACATAATAAATGCCTATATTTTCAAAAACTCCAATATCCAATAACACAGTACAAATACAAACTCTCCTATCCCCAGAACAACAGCCACTACCAATGAAATGGTAGCCGAGCTGGTCCAGCAGTTCCTTCTACCACACGCCACTAAGACAGCGACCAGACATCGCATCAATATGCTGCAGAATTCCAGCTTGGAGACTGCCAGGAGCACCATCTTTGGACTTATTAATAATGCCGAGGCTAAGAGAGGTAAGGTTAGAGTGGATGGGACAGGATTGGATTGAATGGGACAGGATAGGATAGGACAGGATTGGATAGGACAGGATTGGATTGGATGGGACAGGAATGTAAGGGTTTGGATTGAATGAGAACGAATTGTATTGGGAGAGGAGAGGATTTTCTGGAGATTTTATAAGGAGGGAAAATCATCTAATGACTTCTCCCACCCGGGTGAGAGGGAGTGTCAGACTCTTACTGAATAAAAACCACCCCGTTCCTACTCCTGCACATTGAGCCGAAGCCCCGGCAACCATTTACGTTCTCCGATGCCCTGTTGGACCCCATCTGTGTTGGTCTGATGATTGTCTAGAGTTAGGACGAAACTAGATGATATATGATTGTAATTTATTAATAATTTCTGCTGCTTGTGTTATTAGTTTTTAAGCTAAAATTCACGCACAATGTAAATTGTTTTTGGAATAAATAAATAAAAAAACAATTAAACAAAAAGAATGGGACGGGACGGAATATTATTGGCCAAGTTGCTACAGTAATTTCTTCTGTCATTTGCTGCCAAGACAAGACAGCGACCCGACATTGCATTAATATGTTTCTGAATTCAACCTTAGAGATTAATACTCAATTTGAGATAGCTTATAGCTTATGATAGAGATAGCTTATGATAGAGATAGATACAGATTTATGCCGGAATACTGAAACGTTACTCAATTTTAAGTCGTGCTCAAATATCGTGCCATCTCTGTCATTTTACAAAGAATTTGTAGAGATAGAACTATACTTAAGCACGACTTAAAATTGAGTAGCGTTTCAGTATTCCGACATTAGACGCTAAGAAAGGTAAAAATGTGTGAGGATGGGAATTTTTTTTATGAAATAGGAGGCAAACGATCAGACGGATCACCTGATGGTAAGCGATCAGCGCCGCCCATGGACGCAACACTAGAAGTGCCACCAAGACAAGACTAGGTGGGATAAGATAGTATAGGATTGTATTGGATGGGATGCGATGAGATTAGAGATTAGATCTGCATCACCCAAAGGTCAGAATGGGAGAAAATGCCTGCGGCATTAAGTCCACCTTGTGTACACTTTGTGCATGAAGCTTAAATAAATAAATAAATTAGATGTAAAGTGTTAAGTCGGGTTGAGAAGGAATGAGACGAAACGAAACGGGACAGGACGACATGGGATGGAATGTTTGAAAAGACTGACAACAATAAAGAAGGCGTTAACTTCATACTGCCTAAACAATTTTTTTAAACCTTCCACATACATACATTCCAAGATCAAAATCAGCCAAATCGGTTCAGCCGGCCTCGAGTTTGACCGAGACTTATGAACGGAAATTCATTGTTATTTATATATATTTGAAATGTCTTAACCAACTTACAATTTGTTTCAGTATCTAGTACATGTATTAAAAATATATATATATATTTATGCATCCCAGATATATGTACGCGTTGTGGCGAAATGTTGGACGACATGTGTAGATGTCGCAAGTGCCCTATTAAGGTGGAGCCCAAAGAGATGCCATATCGCCACGATCCGCGCTGGAAACTATCCAGATGTGAGTATTCTTCATTATATTTAATAAGTTTATTATATTCTGTGATGTGTATAATTTTATATGATGTTAATGTTAACTTTAATCTTAATGTTAATTATATGTAATGTTAATTATATTTACTTGTCAATGTATGATCAAAACTCACAAGTGTTAAACGTTTGCACCTACTATTGACTGTTAGAGAATGCCACTAGGCATTAAGTCCGCCTTTGTATACCTACATGAAGTGTAAATAAATAAAGTATTAAGCCTCTATTGACCGCACAATACATTTGTCGCCATCCCTTCTCCTTTTTATGAAACAGGCTGGTTAAAGGGCAGACGGATCACCTGATGGTAAGCAATCGACGTCGCCCATGGACACCTGGAATATTAGAGAAGTATAAGTGCTTCTATAATACCTATTATACTGCACGATTGGTGCCGTGGTTAGGCAACTGGCTGCCGCGCAACGTGTCGTGGGTTCGATTCCCGTACGGGTTTTTTCACGTCGGTTTTCTGCTCGGCCGTGGTATCACTCCGGTCAAACCAGCCCATTGGTACTGAAGTTCGGCTCTCTCACACTTAAATTGGCCCTCTTCCCACGGGTGTCGTATACCCGAGCGATATGGTGCTGCTGAGCCCATCGATCAGCTCAATGATGAGCCTGCTAAATATTTGTGAGAAGTATACGGAGGCCCATAGGCTCAGATACAAGTCAGCCCCAATAGCATCCTGAAGACTATAGCAGACAAATGGCCAATGGGATAGCCCTATACTGGGGCATTGGATACGCCTGCATGATATTGTGGCGTAAGATAGTCATGTACTAATTATAACTGGTACTTTTAAGTACTAACACTAGTTTTATAAGTTGTTTGTTTACTAACCAAATGGATTTAAGTTGTCCGAAATTAATTATTAAATTAAAATTACACAATATCAACATCACACAATCACAAAGTAAAAATTAGTTAAGTTGATTTCATATGTTCACAGATCGCACCAAACCTCCGGAGAAGTCGTTTGCTGAGCGGTTTCCGTTGGATCATGAACTGCGTTGTGTGCTTACTAACTTACTTGATGATGGTACGTAGCTCCCTTATTCCGAGTGATATATATGTACTTTCTAAGATTATTTAGACACCACTGATGAACGGTGAAGGAAAATATCGTGAGGAAACCTGGGCTTATAATTTCTAGCATGCTGATTAATGCTTATGGTCTTTGGTCAGCTATGGCCACTAATAGGCTTTTTGTCAAAACGGAATTGTACCTGGAAACTCTTCGATTTCTAGTCTACACACCTGTCAGTGTCATTTTAAGGTTCTGTACCCAAGGAGTAAAAACAACGCGTGTAAACGTACACTACAAACGACACCGGAGACAATACTAGTGTGGGTGAACAGTTTTTTAAACAAAAGAGAAACATATATTTTTAAATAGAATTGTATCTTATGCTACAGTTGTGCAAATATCGAGAGCCGATAAGGCAGAAGCGATGGAAACTCGACGGGAGATCAAGGGCATAATCGAAGAACGCATGGAGCTCACCCTGGATGCCAAACACATTGTAGAATGTGGTAAGTCACCTTTTAATTCCAACACTAGCAGTTTTACTCGCTACTCGGCACCTATTGATCATAGCGGGGTGTTTTATAGCCTATAGACTTCTTCGATAAAAGGACTATCCAACACAAAAAGAATTATTCAAATCGGACGAGTAGTTCTGAAGATAATAGACTTGGACTAAAGGACTACCCGCTGAGCAAGCGTGATAATTAATGCTCAAACCTTCTCTCTATCTCATCTCATAGAGAGAAGTTTGAGCCTTTGCTCAGCAGTGGCCACATATAGGCTGATAATGTGATGTGAAGAGCCGACTGAGGGACTACACATTAGACCGAGACCGGGCAGATCTGATAAACCTGAACCTTTTATATTGCGATGTCCAATCCAACCAAAGTACGGTGATTACAATAGCGTTACCGGCCTTTTGAGGGTTTGCAGATTAAAGATTTCGGGGATTGGGCCTCCGATAACCTTAAGCCCTTAACTGTCGATAAAAACTGTGAAAGGCTAATCCTCCGCTAGCGTCGGGCTTCATTGTCCGATACGACATCCAATGTGACGGCTGCAAGCGTTGTTTCACGTCGGTTTCCTGTGAAGCCGTCGTATACATTGATACCAAAGCATGGCTCATCCACCTCTTATGTAGTATAGAGGAGACCTATAGTCTAGAAGTGGCAGTCTGCCTGCAAAAGTACAATTTTACCGTTAACTGATAAACGTCAGTTTTGTGAATCGTGTTCACTAATCTGTTGGTATATTAATACCAAAATCGATTGAGTTAGATTCTTTATGGAATAAGCCGGTAAACGAGCAAACAGATCACCTGATGGTAAGCAATCAAGTGCGTTAACGACCATTTAGGAATTAGGAATTTGAAGATTTGGGATTCGAGGATTGGAGAGATTGGGTAGGGGGAAATTTGGTCTCACGTATTGAAACATAACTTGGGTTTTTTCACGTCGTATTCTGCTCGGCCGTGGTATCACTCCGGTCGAGCCGGTCCATTCGTATGAAAGCATGGCTCTCCCAGACTTAAGGCCCAAACCTAGGGCCAAGAGATCTTCAGAACAAAGATTAACTGAAACATTTTTTCTTAGTATTCGACTTTGCTACCGAAGCTAAGATCCTTCCCGTGAAAGACTACAAATACCACCACTTCATGTGGCAAGTTTACAGTGACGCAATCGAGAGAAGTGCGCCACCTGTCCGTACTGGTCAATGTAAGTTTCATCAGCACATGTAGTGTAGATGTCCAGTCAACTGATGGTAGCGAGGTTCACTGTCCAGTGACACACCTACGCTGGTATCGTCATGAGCTAATGTTGACATGTAAACAGTGACTCGTGTAGTGTAGATGTCCAGTCAACTGATGGTAGCGAGGTACACTGTCCAGTGACACACGCACGCTGGTATCGTCATGAGCTAATGTTGACATGTAAACAGTGACTCGTGTAGTGTAGATGTCCAGTCAACTGATGGTAGCGAGGTTCACTGTCCAGTGATACTCGTACGCTGGTATCGTCATGAGCTAATGTTGACATGTAAACAGTGACTCGTGTAGTGTAGATGTCCAGTCAACTGATGTAAGCGAGGTTCACTGTCCAGTGACACACGTACGCTGGTATCGTCATGAGCTAATGTTGACATGTAAACAGTGACTCGTGTAGTGTAGATGTCCAGTCAACTGATGGTAGCGAGGTTCACTGTCCAGTGACACACGTACGCTGGTATCGTCATGAGCTAATGTTGACATGTAAACAGTGACTCGTGTAGTGTAGATGTCCAGTCAACTGATGGTAGCGAGATTCACTGTCCAGTGACATACGTACGCTGGTATCGTCATGAGCTAATGTTGACATGTAAACAGTGACTCGTACAGTGTAGATGTCCAGTCAACTGATGGTAGCGAGGTTCGCTGTCCAGTGACACACGTACGCTGGTATCGTCATGAGATAATGTTGACATGTAAACAGTGACTCTTGTAGTGTAGATGTCCAGTCAACTGGTGGTAAACAAATATCAACTTAATTTTACTGGAGATGTTTGCATCTCAACGTTATTCTATATTCTATTCTAAATTCTATTGTGTTTGTAGCTGTGTATATTCTAATGGCGACTTCTGCATTATAATGACTATGTATTATAAAAAAACAAAATTTTCTAAATTTCTACAAAAATGTTCTGTTTCATAGCTTTAAGCTAGCATTTGGAAAGTCCTGCGTATATGCAATTTGTATTTGTATGTAGATTTAAGAAACTTAAGTACTAGTTTCGATTTAGGTCCCAAAGAACTGCCGTCGGAGCTCAGACGGAAGGCTGAGGCGGAAGCCATGGTGGTACATGGGTCTACATGCCTTTGCGACGTTGAGATAACAGGCAGGCCTAGCAGGATTCAATTCAATGTCGGTAAGTTCTAGATTAGCAAACTTAATTGGCCGGCCGGTTAATTAATTAAGCCTTTTATTTCCGAATAAACAACATGTGAACTTAAAGTTAAATAATTATTAAGGGGGTCGTGGTGGCCCGGAGGTTTAAGACGCCCACTTCTCATGCATGAGGGTGCGGGTTCGGAACCTAACAACGGCAAGTACCAATGTGACTTTTTCCGAGTTATATGTACTCATAGATTATTTAGACACCACTGACAAACGGTGAAGGAAAAACATCGTGAGGAAACCTGGACTTATAATTTCTAATTATAAGTTTGAAATCGCCAACCCGCATTGAGCAAGCGTGGTGATTAATGCTCTAACCTTCTCCGTGCGAGTAAGAGGCTTTCCTCAGCAGTGGGCATTTATAGGCTGTTGATGATGATATGCTACACTGAATTTACAAAATGTTCCTTATTTCGGTGTGCCTTACGGCAAAGGCCTCCTCCAACTCTTTCCACTGCTTTCTGTCTTCTGCTATCCTTAGCCAAAGGGGGCCTAAAGTCAGGTCATCCTCCCATCTTCTGGCTTTGCGACCTTGGGTTCTAGAGCCGTCACTTGGTACCAAGCTGTAATCAGTTTGCTCCACTTTTCCTTTTAACAACGGAGCATGTGTCCGGCCGGTTACATCTGTTGGAAACCGAAGGCCGATGGGATAGACGATGGAAAGCGCATAGTTTAGGGCGCCCTCCACGGATGCGAAGAACTGAAGTTCAAGCCAAGAAGTGGGATATTGGAGAGTCATATGTCCGGTCATGGAAACGGGCTGAAGAACTGCCTCGTTGGCCGAATGGTCGCAACTGCGACTACCGGGCAAGGGGTCTCGGGTTCGATTCCCGGGTCGGGCAAAGTACTTACTGGGTTTTAAAAAAAATCTCAGTAGTGGCACGGAGTCTGGAAATGTGACCGGTATATGGCAATAGGCTCACCCCCTATTACATGGGACTCATAACATAAATAGTGAAAAGTGGGTGTTACTTCTGTGTGCACCTCTGCCTTTCCTTTCGGGGATAAAAGGCGTGATGTTATGATATTCTAAAACTGCGACCAGACATTGAAAGACGGGTACCGTATTATCTAAAGTTTTGGTGTCTCAACTGTCATTCTGAACCGAACTGCTCATAACGGGAAGTATGCTAAACCCCCTTTAGACGAAGCCTATATTCAGCAGCTTTTTGAGTGAGATAGGGTGGCAAACGAGCAGACCGAACACCTGATGGCAAGCAATCGATGCCGCTCATGGACACCTGGAACACTAGAGGATTTCAAGTTCCTTTAGAGAGCGCAGAGAACCATACTATGGCAAACCCACTTAAAAGAGGAGGCCTATGTTCACTGTTCAGCAGTTTTTTTAATAGGATAAGGTGGCAAATGAACTGTCGAATCACCTGATGGTAAGTAATTATCACCACTCCTGCAGCTGTAGCCAAATGCCATTTAGCGCTTGTCTACTTGTAGAGTAGAAAACTAAAATATATGGAATTGACGTAAATTTTGACACTTGTCAGTGTCATCCCCATACATTTAGTTTTCTACTCTCTCTGTAGACAAGCGCTAAAGTGGCGTTTGGATAAAGGCCCATTACAACACAAGAGGAGTTACCAATGCATTACCAGCCTTTTTAAGGAGAAGGGATGTTTTTTAAGGGGGAAAATCAGTGTCAGACTCTTACTGACTAAAAACCACCCCGTTCCTTCTCCTGCACGTCGAGCCGGAGCCCCGGTTACCCGTTAGGTTCTCCGCGACAAGACGTGATGATTACATTTACATATCCAAACAGCCGTCTCTAGCCTAATAATGTTGATGATGATTCTTTTGCCACAGCTGCGTTGTCAGACGATGAGAAGAAGAAGCTTCTACCTTCAGAGCTGAGGGAATACGAGGAGTGGAAGAAATGCAAGTGTGATGCTGAACTCAAAGCCGATGCTGATGGTAGTACTTTTGTGTTTTTTGTGCAAACGCTGACCAGGAAAGGGTTGATTTGTTATTTTAAAATACTCTGCTATAGTTGAGAATAGAATAGGGTGGTTTCCTATATTTTATTTTAATGTCCGTCTGGTACATTAATGTAAAACTTTAGACACGTATTTTAAATATCGTGTGACGTTACAGACTGCCACATTTTGTAGCACGTAACGACATCCCAGTCCTATAAGCTAAGCGCCATTTTATTTAAGTATTGCAACTTAATTCGAGAAAATAAAAAAATACGTGTCTAATATTTTTTCATTATCTAACTGACAGACTAATTAGATTTTTTATTTTGATACCCTGGAAACTATTCAATTGTTTTTGCTGAAGAATGACTGCCTCGTTGGCCGAGTGGTCGCAAGTGCGACTGCCGGGCAAGGGGTCTCGGTTTCGATTCACGGGTTGGGGAAAGAATTACTAGAATTTAAAATAAAATCTCAGTAGTTACATGAAGTCTGGAAATGTGCCCGGTAAATGGCAATACACTCACCCCCTATTACACGGGACTCATAACATAAATAGTGATAAGTAGGTGTTACATTGTACAGTGGCATTAAGTGCCGTAATGTGCACCTCTGCGTATCTCTTCGGAGATAAAAGACGTGAAGTTATGTTATGTCGTTTTTTATGATATCGACCAAATTAAGTTGAGAATATAGATTTCGAGACTTCCATCCCTGGACTTAATAATAATAATCTTTATTGTACACCTTAAATCAATAGAATATACATGTAATGTTATAATAAAGAATAGTAGGGTACAAAGGCGGCCTTATCACTAAAAGTGATCTCTACCAGGCAACCTTTGGGTGAATGGAGCACTATGAGCATCAGGACTTAACGATGATGATGCTAATCTTTTCTTTACAGAAGCCCATGTAGATGATGCGATGACGGATTACACGGAAGCGACGGATTACACGGCTTTCACTTACACTGATGAAGTGGGAGAGGATGATGAGGAAGAAGAAGAGAATTAGACCATCTTACATATACCTAGGCTAACATCGATGCAAAATGTTCAATAATAAACGAGTTATTTTAAAATGGAGACAATCCCGCCGCAACCTCCCAAAACCGCTGCATCTTGTGCACCAGGATCTACAGTAGATACAACTATGCAAACACCGGAACATTGAAGTCCGGCGCGTCCCAGGGATATAATCAACTCAAACGCCGTATGCACAGGTCTGGTTCTGGTCGGGCGACGAGTTAAGGATAACTCGCTCGCCGTCCGAGCAGTGCAATGATGACACCCGGGCGTTTTTATAATAACTATCATGAGACATACTAAATTAAGTAAAATCGCGGGTTACTCACGTGAATATACTGAGAAAAGCTCTACTAGTTTCTAAGAGTAGCTCACTAAGAGTGAGCTGCGCGACGTCGCCGCGACCGCGCACGCTGCTCATGAGGAAGAACTCCATGTGGTTCGAAACTAGTAGAGCTTTTCTCAGTATATTCACGTGAGTAACCCGCGATTTTACTTAACTCGGGCGTTTCCCACATAATCCGAAACAGGAACCTACCGAAACTTTCGTGTCCGGTAAGCGCTTGCGTGGATTAGATATCTGAGTACACTTTTGATGTCGAAATTTTCAATTTTTGAGATCGAAATATATGAAATCGTGCCCGATATTTATTATTAGGCTCGCCTCCTATTACATAGGACTTATAACGTAACTGGCGATATCTTTTTTTTTTAAAAATAAAAAACGATGCCCCACGCTAGGGTCGTCTCCTGTGTCGTGGGTGCGTTTACAAACATACAATTTCACATACACATGACACCCAGACCCGAAACAACAATTTGTGGATCACACAAAGTGTTGTTCCGTGCGGGAATTGAACCCAGTTTTCTTGTAAATATAATTAATTATGGATTTTTAGAAAACATATTTGTTGTATCTGTATTTTATTGGACATTTTTTTTGTTTGCTGTAAAGAATCATCAAAATGATGTTTTTCAGTTAAAAAGTAATCGTTTAAACTTGTTAGAAAGAAAGAAAGAACATTAAAATAATATGTAACTTGGAGATTAAAAATGAAAATAACCTGACCTTTCCAACGCAGATACATTTTAACTGAGGAATAACTGCCATCAATATTTGACGATTCTTCCATGTTTTTATAATAACTATCGTGAGAGATACTAAATAGACAAAAAATCGCAGGTTACTCACGTGAATATACTGAGAAAAGCTCTACTAGTTTCGTACTTTGAGTAGGCTGCGCGACATCGCCGCGACCGCGCACGCTGCTCATGAGGAAGAACCCCTCTGTGGTTCGAAATTAGTAGAGCTTTTCTCAGTATATTCATGTGAGTAATTTCTCCATAAAAAATAACCAAAAATCGCGGATTAACTTAGTATAGAATAAAAACAGTCAAATTTCAACTTATGATTGCAAAATCGGTCCCAATTATGTTATATTAGTATCCATAAAATGCTTTTTAATTAATTCATTTATACCAATTTCTAGTCGATGTACCTAATGTATCATTTTATTTAAATAAAAATCTAAATCTGTAATTGTTGTTTTATTAAGACTAACTTCTGCTAGCGGCTTCACCCGTGTTACCGTCGGATAGAAAGTAGCCTATATGCAATGATATTATAAATAATAAAAAGAGGTAGATATCGCACTGGCACGCAAAAATTGTTGCGAACGAATTCAGACAATTGTCGTAATTTGTAAATAGCTATCTCTTTCTGTACCATACTTTCCGTATTATCTGTCGCACGTAGTTGAAAATGACATTTAAGTACATCTATACATATAATAAATCTGTAGAAAAGAAATTTTTGTACATTGAAGAAATTGACAAAAAAAATAGTCAGCGTGTTAAAAGATAACCAAAAGAACCCATTTCCATCATTTTTGAAATTTTTGTCCGTTTGTCTGTTTGTTTGTGCGCGCATCCCGTAAAATCTACGCATTCAATGCAGTCATTGCTTATATACAAAAATTCTAAGCAACTTGAGGTATAACTTAGTTTTTGTTTCATTGAAATCGGTTCACTCTATCAGAAGATATGATTAATTTAGTGAGTTCAAGTAAAATATTACAACACGCAATTCAGTATAGTACTCGAAATGACATCTTTGGTAAATTGGTTTCGTTTGGTCACTGGTTTGAAGTCCGAAGTAAAGATACTACTTGATATTATAAACAAGAAGATTTTTTTTTTAAGGTGGTAATATCATCGAGGACTGCTCCAGACTCTTACTGACTAAAAACCACCCCGTTCCTTCTCCTGCACGTTGAGCCGAAACCCCGGTTACCCGTTATGTTCTCCGCGACTCCGAATCAGCATCGGCCCTGTTGGGCCCCATCTGTGGTGGTCTGATGGCTCTTTGAGGCGCGCGCGGAACGCGACGCGCCGTACGCTCGGGTCTGTTTCTGGTCGGACGGGGAGCGATGGCTGGGTTGCGAGGAGGCAGCGCTTCGCTGCCTCACGCGTCCCGCCTACTCCTTAGCTACCATGACTGCTCCGCAAAAGGAGGAGACGGCATCCCAGTCCCCCTCGCTCCACATCATGGCCTGCACTAGGTCCGGACGCGAGAGGTCGCCATCGCCGATCACTTCCCTGAGGGCACGGTGGTGCTCAGCCAACGCAGGGTATTCCCCCACTGTGTGTTCCACCGTGTTCTCAGGGCGGCCCTCGCAGTGATGACACCCGGGCGTTTCCTCTCGCCCCATCAGACACAGGTACCTCCCGAAACTTCCATGTCCGGTGAGGACCTGCGTCAGGCGGTAGGTGAGGACGCCGCAGCGTCTCTCAAGCCACTCCTCAAAGAGGGGACTTACCGCTGCAATGGCAGCGAGCCCAGCCCTCGGTTGCGACAGTCGTTGCTGCCATTCCGCCATGAGATCGCGCCGGAGCTCATCCCGCCACGCACCTATCTGGCGCGGCAGCGGAGTTCCGCCCCGGCGACGTGCCTCCACGCGCATGCGATACATGCGCGCGAGCACCTTCGCTTCCAGATCCCACGGCGGTAATCCGGCAAGGAGGTTCGCCGACTCCCCGGAGATCGTAGAATTAGCAGAAATAGCAAGTTGCTACAAATTTCGACTACCTACTAAGTTGCGATCTCCGTTCAGTAGTATCACTTTTATCTTTATTAACGTAAATAACTTTTTTTACGGAAAAAGCTTCAATATTTCAAAATAAACTTCTGAATGCACGTAGAAATAAAGAACAAATTTGTATCACCGAATGTATTCGAGAAGCGTCGTGATCGTTCGGGCAAATTCGTAATTCTCCGCGTGAGTGGCAAGCTCGAGGCGAGCTGCATTATAATTATGAACGACCACACTGGGTATTAGTGTTAATAGGTTAATAGGGCCGTACTGTCAGTTCTGTCACAGTCTTATACAGTCGTCCAACGAAGACGTCTAGACAGGGCAATCGTGCGGGGTGTAAAGGGCGAGACGCGGGTAGGCCGATCCCGAGCTGCGAACAAAACGATGTTAGTAGCTCGGGATATATTATTCAGAGCTAACGCGTGTTTGTGTTTACCGACTTCAAAAAAGGAGTAGGCACTATGTTCGAATGATTGTGTCTTTTTTATGTATGGTTGCAGTTGCATGAAATTTTTGATTTATCGTCATGGGTGTCCTTTTCATGGTTTTCGAGGGTGGTAAAACCGATGGTGCTGTCAAAATGTAAATCCAAGATGGCGGCTGCACGAAATTTTGAATTTATCGTCATAGGCATCGTTTCCATGGTTTTCGAGGGTGGTAAAACCGATGGTGCTGTGAAAATGTAAATCCAAGATGGCGGCTGCACGAAATTTTTAATTTATCGCCATGGGTATCGTTTTCATGGTTTTCGAGGGTGGTGAAAATGATGGTGTTGTCATAATTATTATTATTATTATTACCATTTATTTCAATCAATTACATAGATCATTAATTACACATTACAAACCATAATACAATATAAAAGTCACAGTCACATATCAAAAATCACAATCACAAGTCAGTCATCACTAAAATAATCTCCCAACTCAAAACAATAATTTCACATTAGCCAGTACATGAACCATACAACAGTGGTTCATGTACTGACAGTCAAAACGTTCAGCAAAGGCGCTCAGGATACTATTGCGGCTGCCCCGCACCCTGTTCACTAATGACGTGCACCGCTTGCGCATGATTGTGTTGAAGCAGTCTACCCGTGCGCTGGCAAACATACCCGATGCGCTACAAAAGCGAGGCAGCCCCAAGAGCATCCTGAACGCGTTATTGTATTGAACACGCAGAGCGCTGTACTGTTTCTGCGTATAACTCAACCACAAAGCCCCCGTATAGAAAGACGTACAAAATGCTCTAAACAAGGTTATCTTGACATTCTCCGAACATCTTGCAAATCTACGGGCTATCATATTCGCACGAACAGACAGCGCCCTACGCTCCCGCTCAATATCAGCATCATCTTCCAGGTCTGAGGTCAGAATATGTCCAAGATATTTAAAAGTATCTACTCTCTTGAGAGGGTGTCCATTTAGAATTATTTTTGGTATCGGAGCCGGACATCTCTTCTTGGCCCGAAAGACCATGCACTCGCTTTTCTTCGTGTTGTAAACTAAACCATGCTTTTCAGCATACTGCTGACAAATGCCAATCATCCTCGACAACCCGCAAACAGAGGCGCTCAGCAGCACCATATCGTCAGCATAGCTGATATTGTTTTATGCACACCCCTCCGACATGACAACCTACATGCGTTCTGCTGAGCTCCTCTATCAGCGCATTCACATACAGGTTAAAGAGCCTCGGAGAGTCAGTCCTCCCTGCCTAACGCCACACTCCAACCTGTACGGAGCCGAGTACGCCCCCGACCACCGAACAACATTAACTTGGTTGTTATACCAGTACCGAAAAATCCGAATAATTCCGTCCGGCACTGAAACCTGCTGCATTTTATGCCACAGCAGATCATATGATACCAGATCGAATGCCTTCGATAGATCCA